CGGTTGGCAAATTGCAATTGAAAGGCAAGTTTCTAATCCTGGAAAACTAGTAATATAAATCATGTTTACTGTTAAGTGTTTGAGCGTTAGTGTGTTAACGAATGGTATGGTCTTATGCAGAAAGACCATATTTAAAAAAGTTTACATTTGCTAGGTATATTGTTACAGATTTGAGTTAAAATGATATGAAATCTGATTCTTCAGTTAATGAACATCTCTACATTTTGAAAAGAGTACTTAAAAATGAATGCTTTCTTGGAGATGGGGTTGAGGGATTGCACTGCTCTCATAGAACTCTGACCTGGTGGTGTTGGCTCTAGCTAGTGGATGGACCTCATGTTTACCATAGAGGAAGCTGGACTTATGCTGCATTTTCCAGTAGTGCATTTTCTTATCTGCATTTAGTGATCTAAAAATGGAAGGACAGAAGCAACGACATCCTTCTGGGGGAGTTTCAGTCTCCACTGAGATGGTGCTTGGACTGGAAGGAGTAGAGCTAGGTGCTGATGGCAAGGTAAGGAATTTTTTTCTTTTTTTTTCATCTGTTGATCTGTAATGCCAATGACCAAACCACTGACTGGAGCCCGGGACAGCGGGTGGGTAAGCTGGCTGCTTTCACCCTGGGACCATTTCATGCTGGGGCAAATCACTTTATGGATGGCAAAGCACTGCATAAATTGAGAGCAGTGGAAGTTTGTTTTGATCCTTGAGGTTTAAAATGTTTGGCTTGTGATAAAGCTTCTTCTGAGGAGGCTGTTGAAGCCCGTGATCGGTTCTGCCTCCATTTCTGGAGAATTTATTTGGCTCTGGTATCTCAGGCAACATGTGAGTGACGCTTTGATAGAAATATGGGCAAAATTTATACCTCTCTAGTTAAATTTATATGCTGCCAGAATTTTACTGATGTGATTCTCCCCTTTTCTTTGCCACCCCACCAAATCTTCTACAGCGCTTCCATACTGAAGTCGTGGAAGCAAGGCGTTCCTCATCCAACTTTTCCCTTTCCTCCTGTCCCACAGTTTCAAGGTCCCCACTCCCAAGTAAAACTCCAGGGGACTCTCTGAGCTGGAAAATCCTAGATGTCTGGAAATAAGCTTTTCCATAAATTTTCCCCTATAACTGCTACAACTTTCTCTTCTTTAAGGTTGTGTCCTATGCAAAATTCTTGTATCCGACCAATGCCCTAGTTGTTCGCAAAGCTGACAGCCATAGTGCTGTTCCCTCATGTCGAGCTAGTGCTTCACGGAGTCTTCCTGGATCAAGATATAAACCTGTGACAGCAAAGACGATACCAGCAGGAGCAGACATCGGTAAGGACAGCTGTCAGCTTTGTCACCCCTTGTGCACACAGCAGAAGAACATAAAAGGAATATATTTGTCTGAAATAATTGCAAATGGTGAAGTGCATTATTAGGAAGGATGTGCTGCAGCTGGAAGGAGACTGTTTTCAGCACAGCCTAGCAAAGAAGGCTTGTTAATGAAGTATAAACGATGAGCCTTAAGACTGAGACTTGCACACATTCCTTATGTCCTCTGTATATCTGGGCTAGTTCTGTTTATGCAATTCAAGGAGCGCAAAGCCGCTTCCTTGGAAATGTTTCTTGTTGAGTAATATAAAACTTCACATCTGGTGTACGTGGGTACAGGTGGTCCTCCTTGCCTTCTAGCACAGTAACAATGCATAAGCCAAAGAGTTTGTGACAAGAATCCCTTCTCTTGTGTAAAAGAACAAACCTGACAGCTCTGCTGTCTGCTAGATAAGAGTATAGGCAAAAGAATTCAGTCTTGTGCAGTTGTTTTCTGTGCATATTTGTGGATGACAAACTGTTAGTTTGCACTAAGTCTAAAATGGTGTGTCAGGCACATGCTGGAGAGAGAGCTTGTGTGGGTTTTTTAATAATTCTAATATCTGACTGACATTCATGGAATGGAAACAGGTGACTGTAGCTGCAGTTTGCCTGTACTATGGGGTCTGCCAACAATTTTAATGTTTGCTGGTAGAAAACTTTTTTAAAGAGGTAACAGGGAATTTAAAACTCTGTATCTTGTGACCCAGTGTTGTGCTTTCCTCATTCCACTCAGGCAGTGAAGCTGGGGAAGCTGCAGAGTATGATCCAAATCTTCTGGATGATCCTCAATGGCCCTGTGGAAAACATAAACGTGTTCTCATCTTTGCCTCTTACATGGTGAGTGACTGGCACACCTGAACAGAGAAGTGAGTGAGTGCCTGGAAGATCCTCCTATAAAGAGCTTCCTCTAGGAGGAGAAAGTTGTGGCTTTCTGCGAATTGATTAGGAAAAATACAAATAGTTGGGTTTGTACGCTCAGCTTGTTGAGGACCAACCTGACATGTATCTCCATGTTGTCATTTGCTTCTTGTAACCATTTGCTTACTAGTTTTTTAAGATTTTGCCTGTGGTTGAGATTCAACATGGTCTATTGCTTAGGGCACTACAGAAATGTTAAATTGTGAATAATAAAACCCAAGTTTGTCTTTGCATTAGTGTCTTTGGAAGATGAGTTTGGCTGTCAGTACTGTTCACAAGAGAAATGATAAATTTTGCTTCCTGTGTTTCAGACTACAGTCATAGAATACGTGAAACCCTCGGACCTTAAAAAGGATATGAATGAAACCTTTAGGGAGAAGTTTCCTCATATCAAGTTGACGCTGAGCAAAATTAGGAGGTAAGAAACAAGCATTGAATAATGAGAACATCTGCTATGCTGTACAAGGCTGCTTTTATCTTCCACTTGTATGGAGCAAATACTAGATCTATTAATAGTATATATGATTGAACACTAATCTTTTGTTGCCAGTTGAGCTGACTGTAGGATGACAGCCCTGTACAGGAATGTTTAGGATGCTGGGAAAGGGTAACAGTTACTTGTCATAGTTCAGCCTAAAAGGGTTTTGTTTCACCAACTGTGGTGTACTAACACTCATAGCCAGTTAACAGTGAAGCAGCATTAGCCTTGAAACAAATACCTGTAACCTGATTGTTTGGCTGTAGTGCAGTCCCACTCTAACTGGATTGTCTTTCTGGACCCTCTGGCTATTTTTGCCTTTCGATTACCAGACTCACTGATGATCATGGACTCCAACAAGATTCTAGGATAAAGAGTGTTAGGTCTGGGGAGTCTCGTTAAAGAGCATCTCATGAAGGCAGGACTATGCCACACAGAATTCCTCATCTTCCAGGAAATGCACCTGGCTGCTCGTTGGTGAGATGCACTGTTGCACCCTCCGAGAGCTGTAATCTTGCTGGTATTACACGGTGGTTAATGCAATTGGGGCCTTCTGAAATAGCTGGCTTAAACATGATTCTGCTGAATCACCAGAGCTATGTGTAACTCTCGACTGAGTGGAAGGCTTGCTCAGTCAGAGTGTGTTCTGCCAGCATCCTGCATACTCCTCTTTGTAGCTGTTTTGAGTAGTGTGCTTGCACAGGTATCTTCTTGCAGGTGTAGCATGGATGGCAGCCATGAGAGGCAGCATCCACCATAAAGTCTGCCTGTATGCTGAAGTGAAGGGCCAGCCATTGTGGGAAGTGTGTAAACCAGTCTGCCTTCCCCCACAGACTTGATTCTTCCACGAGGTGTGTAGTAGGCAGGTCCCTACGCAGCAACTGCTGTGATCCACACGGCTTTGATGTGGTGTTCTGTAGGTCAGGGTGGTTCAGTCTTATGATATGAATCACCAACCAGTTCAGGAGTCCAGAGGGACCCATACAGCAATAGCCTGTGTGTCAGTGGGACAGCTAAGCCCCTGGTGTTTATGGGCAGATGTGGAACTGATCTTCCATGGTAGATGTCGTCAGCCACGGTAAATCAGTTTGTGTATCAGCTCCAGCTTGCTGCCAGCTGGGCTTCTTCAGTCTAGGATAATACTCGCCATGGTTTTCCAAATAGGAGTCTTGCCCGTATGTTCTTCTGAGTTCTCATGCTGCAGTGTTTCTAGAGCATTTCATAAAAGCTGCCGTGTTTGAGAGGGTGCCTTTTTTCCTATTCCCAGTTTAAAGAGAGAGATGCGGAACCTGAGTGAAGAGTGCAGTCTGGAGCCGGTTACTGTCTCCATGGCTTATGTTTACTTTGAGAAGCTTGTCCTCCAAGGCAAACTCAACAAACAGAACCGCAAACTGTGTGCTGGTGCTTGTGTTCTGCTTGCAGCCAAGATCAGCAGTGATCTCAGGAAACATGAAGTTAAACACCTTATAGATGTAAGTACTATGAGACTTGTTTCAGGTGTTGTCAAAACCTTCTCTCTAGCTCATAGAACAAGACACAGATTAAAGCCAAGACTTTCAGCAGCGCATGCTTGCATTGAAGACCAGCTCTTTCAGTCAGTCTTATGCCTCATTAGGGCTCTTCCTTGATGTTTTGGGGGGGTTTTTAATTCTTTAAAACTACCTGACTGGTGCAGTCTAATGTCCTACTGATCCTACAGTGAGGTTATTTTTGCACTTACTGTTTCTCAGGCAAACATATGTAACTGTTGTGTGGGTGTCACAGCTGAGCTGATAAGCTGGTTTACTTGTCTGATCCCTGGCAACACTTTTGATTCTGTAGGTACAGCTCTGGCCATGCATCACTGACTCCTGTTTTATGCTGACTTAATATAACAGTGCGTTGGTATCTTGTGGATTAACTGATTCTTTCTCCCCCTCCCTTTTTTTTTTTTCCCAATTATTGTCATAGAAACTAGAAGAGCGATTCAGATTCAACAGAAGAGATCTCATTGGTTTTGAATTCACCGTCCTTGTAGCTTTGGAACTGGCTCTCTATCTTCCCGAAAACCAAGTTTTACCTCATTACAGACGGCTCACACAACAGTCTTAACCAAAGCTACGTTCCAGCTGACATCCCGTGGTGCTGGGGATCGCATCACTGAACGCTGCTGGTGAAGTTGCCACTGGTCTTTCTGTGCCGCTGTGTGCATCCTGCCATGGCTGCAGCTAGTTTTGAAGTCTGCAGTGCGTTATTAAACTGTTGAGGTGTGCATTATGGACACGTATGCCAAGCCTGGGGGATGGTACGAGAAGAGTTATTGAACTTTATTTTCTTTTGGACATTTAAAGCACAAATATTCACCAGTCAGCTGTCATGGCTGCTTATTATTCCTTATTTATCTTTTCGGTTTTACTAAAACTGTTCTTCCCTGTGAAGAATACTATGGTATTGTTTCTTTTTTTTTAGCCTTTATTGTATTCCTTGAAACTAAAGGAAGCATCACTTCCATTCCAGTGCACCATAAAGTTCAGATGTTTCTAAGAATCTTCTTGCATTTTTACATTAATGAAATGCATACTTTATTTTTTTAAAGATGTGCCTAAAACTGGCTGGTCTGGTACCAGTGCTTTTTAAGTTAGTTATGTTATTTAGTGGGGAATCCTGAATTTGTATAGCCATTTATTCTTTACCTGCATTGGCCTTGCATATAAGGAAAACAAATCCAGTATATCTGCACTAATAATACACAGGGCATCTATTCTCTACTATACTATAGATCTATAAGTAGCAAGATTGAAATTACTCCATTCCAATTTAGTTCACTATTAATACCTTAAAAATATACAGTTCATTTAAAAAGGAAAGATCGTTTGAAAAATCTGTCATGAAATATCACGTGTTGAACAAGGTAGCTGCAGCAAAGCGATTGCCATCCTAATTCACTCTTCAGTGGAAGATGAGCACTTGACTAAGAGCAATTTGCTGTCAAAGGTATCACTTGTGATTTTTGTGTTCCATAGCCTGAAATAAGCACCTTTTTAGTATGACTGTATTATATATGGTCTTGCGTGTTCTGAGCAAGTACTTAAGTCAGTAGAGCTACTGCTGCCAAACCAAGCCAATGAAACAAAGCATGCTCAATATTTAAAAGCTACTTTTTTTACTCCGTTCTTCCAAGCGTTGCATCACTGTGGTGGTCCTCATAAAACTGGCATTTGTTGCACATCCGAACAGCCGCTTAACGGCTGGTGGCCAGCAGCGCTCTGATGCTTACGCAGAGGTTAAATAACTTCTCTGACCATTGGCTATTCCTTCATTTATTTTTAAAATGTCCAGGTTGGGAATGAACTCTGATTATATGTGGAACCTTCCGTGATATTGGCTCTTGGGTTTATTTTCTGAAGCAATATTATGATACAAGTAGCTGTGTCCACTTGCAAGGAACAAAACTGATGCTTGGCTATTATGACTGAGAAATTTGTAATTTAAGTTTGCCTCCTAAATGAAATACTAGACCTCGTCCTGAGGTAAGGGACCTGCTATCTAATGTGTAAAGTAATGTAAATTCCTGTTCCTTGTATTAAGTGTTGGTTGTAGGCAACAACAAAGCTGAGTCTTTGCTATTCAGCTGTGTTTCGTCTGAAGCTAATTTGGCTTCATTAGAATTGCAGCAGACTTTACTGGAGCCCCTTCCTCTTTAAGTAGGGCTTGAAATGTATTTTTCATATATAATAATTACAGTGACTATCAAATCTTTTGTAACTGTGTTCAACTGTATGTAGCTTCAAGTTATTTGTGTAAAATTTAATATGCTTGTGACTTCTCTCTAACACAGGACTTTCCAGTCTCCATAAGTGAGATGGTAGCTAATGTTAGACGATAAGCTTGCCAGTTACCTTCCAAAAGGTTTAAAAAATTGCCTACTAGTTAAACTTTCTACTGACTATAACTGTCCTTGCATGCAAGAAATAGTGATGTACTGAACATCTAGTGTATAACGAGCCTTCAAATTAGCAAACAGTGGTGAAGACAACTGAAGTGGTCCACCACTTCCTAAAGTCATTAGGGGAAAGAGGTAGAACTGAGCGAAAAATTTCTCACACGGTATCTCCAGAAACAGCAGAACGCTTCGGTTAGTATGAATGAAGTCAGAAAATGTCTTTCTCTGGGAACTTCTTTCTGTTTAGCGTATAAAGAGTTTTCTGTAACAAAATTCACTTTCACTTTCCTTTCTCACCATCTAAGGAAGAAAAGGCACTTTGGTTCGCAGCACTTTGGGGTCTCTATTCAGTGGAAGTTTGTCTAGTTGCAGTGGGCATTTGGGCTGGAGTTACACTCCCAGAAGTTATGGTTTCACGTCATGAAGAGGCAAGCTTTTGTTTTCTCTTTTAGAAGAACAAATTAGGATAAGGAGCATTAAATTACAGAATGGTGTCTAAAGGTTACTCTAAATGTTGGCTTGGGCACATGCAGTGTTCTTGAGCTCAAAAGCTGTTTGGAGCACAGGCCAGAAATGACGTGGTGGAGCAAACGCTGCGCCCGTGTCTCTGGTAGAGCGTGGCTTCGGGGCCGACGCCGTCCAGAGGCGTAGTCTGCGGCTTGTACATTGGTACCTCTGTTGCGGTATCTGTGCAGAAACAGTCCTTCTGCAGAGATACGGTACTGCGTGTGTGTGTGTATGCGTTGATTTTTCTATTTCTAGAGCGTAGCTTGCGGTCCTGTGTGGGAATATTTATCTTTTCACCTAAAAGCTGCCACCATGTGGCAAAGGACTATTACTACGTTACCAATTAATAAACTGAAAGTGGGACCCCAAAATAACACATGGATCTGCCGGCTTTACATTTTTGCAGCCTGGCTCCTCTCGCTTTGCGGAGAAGCGCTGGTTTATGCGGAGGGGCGGTCTGGCTCTGGGAACCGCGTAAAGATGCTGCTGGGCTGATTCAGCGCGGAGAGCTCTTTTGATAAGAGGCTGTACATTTTTATGTAAACAGTACTGTTATGTTTTTGTCTTACTCCATTATTTAAAAGTCTGAGTTGTAGCCTGTTCCATTCCCCAACCCCCCCCCATGAACTTGTGAAATCAAGATGCTGTGAAATAAAAACTGTTTTGATACGTGTTTTGTAACTGCTCGTCTTGTTTCGCAATGGTCCTTCCCTTTCCCTCAGGGTTGCTCCCGGGGCGGTCGGGCCCCTCAGGCTCATGGCGCTATCACCCTCACTCAACGAAGGGCGGCCTCGGGGGGT